CACGTAGTGTTCCCAAGCGGTCACCCATCCAAGTACTAACTACGCCCGACGTTGCTTAACTTCAGTGATCGGACGAGAACTGGTGTATTCAACGTGGTATGGTCGTTGGCGATTGCTGAAATGATTTGTTAATAATTTATATTGTATTACTTATGTAATGTATTTACCGTCTCGCTTTGAAAAATTTCTAATTTTATTATTACTTCTCTGTGAAATTTAATTTGGTAACTTAAAAATGTATAATAATCAATTTAATCATAAAAAAACATAATAACTTTAAATTTTTAATGAATCTTAATTACTATACTTTATAAAAAAAAATATTTTTTCTTAAAATAAAAACATTATAACATTGGTCTACAAGAAACATTCATTAGAATCAAAAATATATTTTTCTAATTCAATTTTTCGCACTGTTTCAAATCTAAAATTAGACTTTTTTGATCATTTACAAGTTTTGATATTATTACTAATTTTAAAAAAATAAGTGTTTACATAAAAAAAAATTATTAATAACAAATTGTTTTTTATTTTATATTACTTTAATTTTTAATATGTTATAAATATTAAGTGCATTATATCATTTTTATATTATTTTTTTGGTTCTTTTAAGTTGACTATAGTAAAACATTATAATAAAGTAGTATATTATTATATAAAATAACTGCTAAACTTTTACATAAATAAAACTTTAATGCTTAACATAATACAAATCCGTTTTTACTTCTGATATTAATAACATTAACGCAATAAAATTACACATGTATTCCATGATTTTTTATCTTCACTTTAAGATTTGACTTAAGACTAAGACCCTTATCCACTGGGTAATGGCGATTAAATTTTTTTGGGTGCTAAATGTAATTTTTCCTTCGCCAAAATGTTATATACTAATAAATATGACTTTTCAAAAATTTTTGGGGTTAAGCCCTCAAAAAGTTTACGCAAATGGCCTCCTACCAACAAAAAAAACAACTTATATGAAATTCTTTATTATACTTATAATGTTATATTTATTTATGATTAATATTATTATCAATTATAAATACTCTTTTTAAAAAATATATATACATATATCTATATATGGTGATTCTTTTAACGCAAGCAACTCAATTTCCCCTAAAATAATAAATGTTAAGTAAATGATCTTTAGTATTTAGTATCTTAGTTCCATATACTTATTTATTTATCAGTTATAAATTACTATTTAAATTTATTTCTTATATCTTATAAAAGTGGCAATTTTATTTTATTAAATTGAAACATACATATTTAAGCTTAGAAAATAAAAAACAATCCAATTGAACAAATAACTAATCGATAACAACTTTAGAACCATTATTTCGTAAGTTATTACCATTTTAATATAAGGTGAGGCGCGTATATGATGATATTTATCATTAAATATTTTTTGGCCGCATATTATTCTATTATTCCGCATAGGTATGAAAATGTTAATAACTTGAGTTATATGTAGATAAGAGTAAATTTTGACATCAATTTATATTATTATTACATCTGTTCAAATAATAATAAGAGTTAAAAATTTAAATTCGCCCTTAGTTATGCTAATTTAAAATGTCTGCGGGACTGACAGAAATTCATGGGGTTCTATCGGAAAAATAAGAAAAATTAAGTTTGGTACGTGTATAGAACTTTAGAGAGGAGGCGTTACTACTAGACGATTATGAACATTTTATCAAGTACCGATATACACTGCTGTTTGGGATATAAACGGCAGCATAAAGTTGACTGTGTTCAGAAAGTTGTTTTGTTATATTGTTTACAGTTACATATTTAATAGATAAATAAAAACTTTTGTCGATTCTAAATAGATTTGAAGCCTAATAAATTCTCCTAGTAAATATACATAAACTAATGTACTAAGATATTACTTCTTTTAAATTGCGTTGAAAATGTTGATGACACTGTATTACTTAATGTTTATTTTTCGTAAATGTATGTATTTAATGATAACACCTAATCTTTAAATATTCTTATACTTATATCTTGTATCTTAATGTACTTTATATGTATAATTAACGTTTTTAAATTACATTTTAACTTATGTGGTATCAAAAAGTATGTGTTTTTTAATTAAATTTCAATACAGTTATTAGAAATAGAAATTTTTATTTCATGATTGAATTATTATTAAAATAAACGATGTCATGTTTTATGATTTCTGTTTAATCAATTAAATTTTGACTAGTGTAAATAAATGTACTTGAATCTTGAAATGGTTTTTTTTGGTAATTATATATCCATTTCTTTATTGTATTTTTGTAGTATCTTCGGGATTTTATCACTGATACAGGATCTTTATTGTTAGACGACCTTAAATCTAAGTGATGAGCGGATTCAGGAATGACAATAGCCCGTACTGTTTTTGAAATGTTCTGCAAGACTCCTCCACTTGACCATGGATCTAATAGACCATTGCTGAAATGTTATAGATTTTTAAATTAATAGATTTACAAAATATTACAATTTTATTTGGTATCTCAGCATTTTTAATAAGCATTTCTTAGTTGACATTAAATATAAAACTAAGTTATTTAAAAACTAAATTCATATAAATCTATACCTGAATATGATGTTTGAAACCCCGTTTAAATTTTTTCCACCGTAAATCTTTTCTATGGTATTAAGAGCTGGACGAACACCATATTTATTAAAACATTGTTGAGTGTATTCTGATATGTTCCATGGAGAATTTTCAAATATATCTTTGATTCCATTAGAACACATAGGCATAACCATTTCTGTGCAGCTCTAAATTTTGAAACAATACATTTATATAAAAAATAAAAAAATTAAAATAAATCAATATTAAATGTGTTAAAAGTTCAAATTACTTGATAATCCCATCCTTTATAACTTAAATTCGGTGTGGCTGAATTGTTCACGTTTAGACATTGTGTAGATCCTGTAAAGTTGAAATAAACACCTAAACCTTGGAAAACAGTTTTCAACAAAGTATAATCATCACTATGAGAATTTTTAAGTGATTTACAAAATTCCTAAAATTTGTATATATTTGTATAAAATTTTAATAGTAGTTCGAAGGATTTTGTTTTATTTTGCAGTTTTTGTAAAAACAAATAGTATAAAAGTTTTTATTAACTTATTATTTTAATTTATTACCTTAATAGGATTTCCTGGAAGGGGCATTAAAAAATTAGCAGGATAAGGATAGTTAGCCATTGCTAAATTAACATATACTTCTGATGCCCAATTTTTCAACATCGTAACATCATTATTATTTGATAATGGAGTACAGAGTTTCCAAATATTTGATAACCACGCTTTGCCTTCACCTAAAAAAAATCCGTCAACAAGAATTTCACGAGTTCTGGAACAAATAATTTAACTCTAAATGCAAATATTTTAGCGTGAAATCTTAGCTCTCTAGAGACCAACTTACTCAACTCTATGTTAAACATCATATATCATATTTAGTTGGAAATATCAACTTTAAACATTTAACAGACCTTTTTAAGCATTTTTAAAATAAAACTCTCTCAAAAAGTAGTTATACATCATCAAAGATCATAACTTTTAACATTTGTATATTTATTTACATAAACATATTTTTAAAGCAATAGAAAACATACTTTTAATGAAATTATAGTAATGGTCAACATTTAAAGCTATAAAAATGTTCAACATTTAAAAAAGCTATAGAAAGTTTTAAAATATATAGAAAATTTATAAATGCTTAAAATATAAAAAGCTATAGAAAATTAAAAAATTTTAAGAATTTATAAAAATGCTCAACATTTAAAAAAGCCATAGAAAGTTTTAAAATATTAAGAAATCTTATAAATGCTCAAAATATAAAGAAGCCATACAAATGATTAGGAAACGTGATAATATGTGTTGAGAAAGTTAATATAACCTCAACAAATTTGAGGTTATCCAAAATATATTGAATGTGTTCATTTGCGTTTTTACCTGTAATGCAAAACATATTGTTGTTTAAAATCTGTTAATGAAAATTCTTATTCTGTATCGATATCTAACTATTAAAAAGTTTGATTTTTTGTTAGGTTCCTTTAGTTTCTCCTTTTAATATCAATAGAAAAAATAAATATACCGAAATTAAAAAAATATGTTCATATTTAGTTGTCTCATAACTTTCTAGTAAATCCATCAATAAATTTTTTTTTTATAATTTTTTAAACTTTACTATTGTACTTTACTTGTACTAACTTAACTTTACAATTGAACAATTTGTTTTAATATGTTTTAAAAAATAGAAAATTTGCATTAAATTAATAAATCTTTTACTAAAGATGATAAAAATATAATCACTAGTCGCTGTGATGTTATTAATTGCTTTCCATGAAGACGAAATAGTTAAGCCGCATTCTGTACTAGTTTTCAAATAAACAGTTGATGTCACCTTATAAAAAGCATTACAAGGTGTCATTCCAGTAAATTGCCAAATTGGTGCAGAAGAAGCAATAGCTCTAAAAAATATCTTTAGTTGCCTTATGAAAATTTCTTTTTACTTCCATATTTAGTGTATTAAATTTACCCTTCAATGACAGCAGGATATTTCATTCTTATCCAAGCAGCTAACATTCCTCCATAAGATCCGCCAAAAACAATTACTGGATTCGTATGCGTATTTTTACCATCGTTCATTTCAATATCATAGACATGGCTACCGATTAAACGTGTTATGTGACGATTTTTACTTTTCAAGTATGTTATTAAGTCTACATAATCAGCCAATGCTTGTTGTGATGTCAAATATCCTAATTTTTTTTTATCACTAAATGATTCTGAACCATATGGTAACGATTCACCGTAATATCTGTGTTCCGCAAAAACCAATAGAGCCTGGAATTCTTCAGCGATTTCCCACATAAACCCCTTTACGAATCAAATAAAAATCAGTCATGATATAATTGATCAAGTTTAATATTTAAAAAACTCATTGCATATAAAATAATAATAAATGTCCCTTCTATATATGAAACAAAAGTGCCGTATTATAGACAATTTATTAAGTACTTACTGCGTTTTCACAGAACATTTCTATAGAACCTTCATTTCCAGTATAGAAAAATATTGGCCCATTATTTGAATCCCAGTATGAATCATTTATAAGATATTTCATTTGAAATGTGTCATTTTGAGTAAAACTGAAATGGTCAACCTAAAAAGATAAATAAAATTATTATTTTAGATTTTAACCTCGATGCGTAGCTGAAAGTTTTATATTATTATAATTATTATTTTAAATAAAAATATTAATTTTTAAATATTCCATCCACAAAATATATAATTTTATAATTACATTAGCATAATACTTAATAATATTATTAATAAAATTGTTTAACTCACAGGAACAGAAAAATACTTCGTTTCAAATAAATATCCTTCAATGTAATTTTTAAAAATTAAAATTAAAAAAATATAGCAATAATAGCTCATTTTGTAAAAGTATTGTTTTACTAATTTTAACAATTTCAAGTATAAGATTTTATAATTTGTATAATAGTTATACGAATCATAAAATAATAATAATTATTATTATCATTGATTTAAAAACAAGTTGTGTTATGTTAATAAATTAATAATAATCTTATATTTTTTTTATAGAAAACTGTAGCCTATGTAAGTAATAAATAATCAATAACTACAGACTATATGCAATAAAAAAGCGTTAATCGACATTCGTTATTTTATCAGTTAAATGATATTATTTTAATCATATCATTGAATTTCATAATCAAAGTAAACTTTAAACCATAACATGCTTCATGAGAAAATTGATTTTTATTAAATTGAGTTTAGATTTAATAGTGTACAGAAGTTAAATTTCATATTTAAACTTATTTTTTTATTTAAGTAATTGACCGCCAATTATTTAAATAAAAAAAATGAAGTAAAAATATAATATAAAGAAAATATAAATGGAAAATATAACATAAAAAGTAAAGAAACAGATCAGTCTTTACAAACTATGAGAATGATAGAATACCTCATCCTTACTTAGTAAATACCCTTACATGTTTTATTGCTACACTATTGACAAGACTACGTATTTACAATTATTTAATTTTTCTGAAGAGCAAAAAAATTAAACATACCATCTAATATTAATTTCCATGTAGATATTTAAATTTAGAACTTCACAGTGTTCTACTACCAGTTTTACATTTTATTCGTAAAATAGATAATTACAATAAATTTAGTCAGGAAAGGTGTTTTTATTTTTGGTGCCAACTCTAATTTAGTAGGTATTACTTCAAGCAATTGAGAGGGGAGATTAACGATGATATATGAACAATATAATTATAAATATTATGCGCAAGAAGATTAAAAGACGCAGATGTCACGGAAATTTTTCAAAATTTGCAAAAAGAAAATTTAAATGATAAAATAAAAAATAATTTTTAATATTAACAAAAAACCTTTTTATTTAAATATATGAATTTTTAAATAAATTACAGCAAGTAAAAATTAAAAAAAATATATTTATTTCATCTCTCTATTTGACTCTCTATTCAATAATTAATTGATAAATGCGTATAATTAATATTCAATGTTAAGAAAAATATATTTGAGTGTTTGAATGCAAATAATATTGTTAAGCTGTTAAGTAAGTTCATAAATAGCCAACTACAAAAAATTGACTATGAACCTAACTCAACCAAACGTTTGGTTAAAGGAATTAAGACAAGCTCTTTGTGAAGACAATAAAAATAAACATGACCTCATAATTATAATTCTCGGCGTAATTTAAGACTAAATATTTTTTTTTAAAGCTAGTCTCCCTTATATTTATTTATAGTATCTTATGATAAAAAAACATTTAAGAATGAACTATGGTTATCTAAATAAATTTTCAAGGTTTAAAAATGATTTTTATAAGGTGACTCAGGTATACTCAAGATCCATCTAACATTTTAAGCAAATTAATTTTTATAATTTGTTTTTGTTAAAAAAAGAATTATTTTTTATTTTTATAGCATGTATTTAATGTAATATATTTAATAAGGATTTCTAATAACCTACCCAATAAATTATCCTAATTATTTAAGACAAAATAAAACAGAAGATATACAAAATTGTTACAAAAACGAAAATGCACAAAGTAAAAGTAGTATCATTTCAAACGAACAATAAATATTAATTTAAATACATTTGTTTAAATATTGGTATTGTTCAGTATTCAATTTTATTTTTTCACCCTTCACACGTTCGTGTACATTGTCCGATTAGCCCCTCTGTTACATTAAGTCCGCAGGGATTTTGTTTGGACACTATTCTCACAGAGAAAAATGTTTAACAATTAAACATTCACAGCTTGTTTCGAATATTGCTCTACGGTTTTAAATAATGTACTAGTTTTTAATTTGTTTCCTCATGAAAAATAATAACACGTTTCTACATATCTCTCTCATTATTTTTTTGTATTTCGTTAAAAACTGAAGAGATATTATTTATTCTTGTTTAATTATTGTACTTAGTAACAAACTTTACATTTAAATTAGTTTTACCTCTAGTATATTACGAACAGTTTATGTTTTATCTTATGATTTTAATTGAGAAATTAAAACATTTTATAAATTGATCATAATAAAAAAATGAACATAACAACGTAATCCTGCAAAGCTAAATCAATAATATAGTACATTTAAAAAATAATCTAAAACGAATTTTGAAAAATAAATTAGTATAATATTGGGAATACTAATCTAAACTAACTACTACAATCTATAATATTCTTATACACTATTATAAAATTAATTTTATTAATATACATGCTGACTTTACTTAGGATAAATGTGTTTTTTTTTTACATAACTTGCTTAAAATTCTTGTAAGCGCCAAAATTACTTCTTTTTTTTTATCATATTTAAGTACTTAGTCATTCTATTAGAGTAAATACTACTATGTACTATGCTAGAACACGTGCATTTTCTACAAATAATGATTTTTTTTCAAAGTAGGAAAAATAAAAATTAGGTCATTCCGAGTGGGTTGAATAGAAGCTATCCCAATTCGTCAAGAGAGTAAAAATGGCTACGAATTCTATATTTAGACGTGTGTCATATGCCATAAACATTTTAATATTTGGTACTGTTTCCGAGAATACTCCAGCCGCTTGTATATAAACCAACTCGATGACTTGACCAACTTGCATTTTTCTTTTGACGGTCTTAGCGATTCCATAGATCGTTGTTCACTTTTTAATAAGACAGTGTGTAATCAAATAGCAATAATGTCTTTGGAACGTGCAGTCCGCGCTAAAGTGAGTTAGCTCTTGATTTTATTATGATATAAGAATATTTATATTACATAATAGTAATTATTGTGATTTATAAATTCTTCAGATCGCCTCCAAACGAGACCCACAACAAGAAAAAGAAGCCCAAGAATGGGTTGAAATTATCCTAAAAAAGAAATTCCCTGCTGGTGTTTCCTTCGAGGAATATCTTAAGGACGGTCAAGTATTATGCCAACTTATTAACGTAATCAGCCCAGGAGCAGTACCTAAATACAACACAACCGGAGGACAATTCAAAATGATGGAAAATATTAATTTGTAAGTCTGTTTAAATCAATATGTTTATATCATAATTTTAAATTGATAATAATGAAAAACAATAAATAAAATATAGTTTCTTTATACATTTATTTGAAACCATATAAAATAATTTAAATTAATATTTTTACTTTTACTATCACGATGTTAAATACATCATGATCTAATTTATAAATGAATGAACAATAAGTATCAGAAAAACGGACAAAATTCATAACAGTAAAATAAAATAGCAAGTTCGATTGTTTTCAAAAACTGGATTAACATTTTTTTAAGTGACTACAATAAAGAATCGAAATTAACTAAATTAAAGCAATTTATTTTTGAAAACTACGTACAAAAATATTTTCTAACTTTTGCTTATTTTACTTTATGGACTTAGTTGGGTACAATATGTTTTTGTCAAGAGTAGATAAACTTTTAAATCTATCGAAAAAACATTATAAAAGTCTTTCAATACATAAATCATGAAAAAACAAGGATTGTTCATGAAGAGCAAAGACTTTTAAGTACCTTACAATCGAGCAAATAAGTTTTCTGAATAAAGTTTTCCGAACAAAAGAAAAGAATATAGAGATGTAATAAAATAAAAGTTGGCAACATAGACGAACATGATGCGATTAATCTCGTACAGAAATGTAGACGTACCCAAAAATCTAAACACGTTTCTTAAACAAACAAATGTTTTGAAGTGTAATTCTTAAAGATCTCTACAAAATTTAATTTCCCATTATTTTCATAATTGTGTTATTTGACTCTATACTTATTTATATTATATGCTTATATGAATATTTTTCATTTGCTTAATCATATTATTTTTACTTTTATCAATTTGTTAGGTTCCAAAAAGCCTGCAAGGCTTACGGAGTTGCTGACGTTGACGTTTTCCAAACCGTCGACTTATGGGAAGCCAAAGACATCGCTCAAGTGGTTTGCACCTTATTCGCTCTGGGTCGTGAGGTAAGAAATTCCTCTTTCTAATAAATATACATACTGTTTCTTTAAAATAAGTGATACTTATTTTCAACGTAATATTTCAGACCTACAGACACCCCGAATGGACTGGACCTTACTTGGGACCAAAACCCTCTGACGAAGCCAAACGTGATTTCACTGAAGAACAATTAAAAGCGGGTCAGACGATCATTGGTCTCCAAGCTGGACAAAACAAAGGAGCCACACAGGCTGGACAGAACATTGGTGCTGGCAGAAAAATTATCATCGGCAAATAAATCATACCCCTTAATCAATTATCAAATATTATATACAAAAAATGCACAAAAAACAACTAAACAACCGTAAAATTGTTATCAAACAGTGTGTCAAAGATACGCGTTGTTTTCACCAGAGGCAGATGTGGGAATAGTTCGCTAATGATATGATTACATTGTATACACTATACTTAACTTTTAACATATTTTGTACTAGTGTTAGGACGTCGCATTTAAATTCATATTATGATTTATTATGAATGATTTTATTGTTGGTCTATACATTATTTTCATATTCATTACAATTTTTTTTTTTTGTACTCGTATTTTAATAAATAATATTTATTTATAATGTAAATGTTTGTGTTGAGAAGTCGTTGGATTAAAATGAAAAAAGACTATTTATAACAATTTTCAGTGTTTTTTTTTTCTTATTTATAGATAACCCTTGAATGATCATTTCGATTCCGCCTAATTAGCATTTTAACGCTTAAAGTAAAATTTAAATTTAAACCAAAGGATTCTCAATTCTTAAAATAATTTATTTGCCAGTAAATTATAACACATAAAAAGAGTTCTTAAAATTTATGGTTAGCCTTGAGCCTATATTTATGTTTCAAACAAATCAGCTGCCAAAAAATGTATTATGTAGTATAATTTGATAGTTTCAAGTTGAATAAACGTATAAAGCAAGAGAATATTTTCAGTATAATATATCTCAAAGTTTATATTTAATTATTATATCATAATAGTGTACAACGTTTTCTTGTTAGGCTCTATTAGTTATACTCACATATTTGGAGATAAAACTCAAAATAGTTTTTATGTTTATAAGAGTGAAATATAAAAATAACACATTTTTAAATATATTTGTGTGCTGTGAATAAAGTTTCTAAAAGTATTTTGAAATGTCCGTACACAGTGTGCGCTCTCATGAGAGTAATAATTCATATATTTACGACCTTGATACATAAAATGAACATATATTGGGCAGTGAGCAAGGGAAGGAAAAAATCGGTTTCTGCTACCCTTTAACGGCTGATGCCAGAATTGTAATTACCTTTATGTACTGGTAAACAAGTAAACATAGAGGGGATTATGTTTAGCTCTTGGAAAGAAGTGTAAAAATTAAAAAAAAAACATTTGATTTATAAAACTGCGATACTAGTATGTGAGAGTTTAATTTAAAAATATATAGATAAAGTGATACATACTATGTCATTGATTTGTCTGGTCAAATATAGCGTATACACTTAAAATTAATTGTAATGATCACTACAAATATGAAGACTGAAGAAAATAAAATAGAACAAAACATTTTATCGAAAATAAATATACAGTAATATTATAATTTTTTTTTTTTTTTGGTATTTTTAAAATACATTTTACTGGCTAATTTATGAACTACAAAATGGTAAAATTATTTTAAAAGATAATATTCATATTAATACAAAACTTTTAATCCAATTAACTTTAATAAGCTCCTCAAATATCATTGAGGTTAGATAATGCATTTCCCATAGAGTCCTATATAATCCTCAAAGTTACTTTATCATTAAATTATTTCATGTAGGAGTAAACTCTATTAATACTTGATACGCATCATACTTTTATAGAAATACAATTTCTAGTGGCCCACGAGAATCGAGTTACTATAATAATTTATACTGTGATATTTGGTTCGTAGCCAAAAAAACAACCAAATAATATTAAAACACATGAATTCGCATGTATATTTATACATAACTTAAAAAATGTTTAAATTACCAGCAGAAACACAGATCGTTATAGTATTCAACGTTTTACATTTAAGAACAATTGACTTCATACTACATGCTTTATTTAAGATAAATCATTGCCAACAATTCGTTACAATTATTTAAAAAAATAATAATAATTAGATTTTAAAAATCTTGTCAAGAAAAATAAATTATATCAGTGTAATTACTGCTTTTATTAAAATGTTATCAACTTAAATGTAAATGACTTTTTACTCTAGACTACATTTAAAAGTGATATATATTCAAACAAATTTCGGAGGGGTTTTGAAAAATTTGAATGGACCGAGTAGCAAAGATTTTCTTGTTTTACCCATAACCTTGAATTGAATAGTGAATTAAAATTTTTGGTAGATTTAAGAAGAAAAAAAAATGCTTTTCAAGAGATTTATTATCTAAAATATAAGTTATGTATTAATATGCAATAGGAATGTTATAATGTCATACTAAGTTTACATGAGTGTAGATATATGTTTTTTTTATAAAATTTCTTTGACTCATAGGTCAAACTTAAGTTATATTATGAATAATGAAAACATAAACCAACCTAATAGAAAATTACCCATATATCCTTAGCAGTATATAATTTTTTCATAGGGAGACGGTAAATACATAACATAAGTAATACAATATAAATTAGTAACATATTTGTAAAGTTATCGCCAACGACCATACCACGTTGAATACACCAGTTCTCGTCCGATCACTGAAGTTAAGCAACGTCGGGCGTAGTTAGTACTTGGATGGGTGACCGCTTGGGAACACTACGTGCCGTTGGCAATTTTTTAATTATTCCAAAAATGATACTCCTTTTACACTATTTAAGAGATTTAAGTTTAACCCTGAGTATGGTGAAATTTAATTCACCAGATATTTAAATTGTTTTTTTTTAATTAGGATTTAATATAAATAATTGTATTCGTAAAAAATATATACTATATTTCAAATCCATTTCTAACTTACTGCATTTTTGAAATTAAGATTCTATAAAACATCGAACTAGAAAATGATATTATAATACATTTAACTAATGAATATCTCAGAAAAATTAAGTTTAAATTATTTTTCAAGTTATTAAGAAATAGAAGCAAAGAGTGAAAAAAAAATTAAAAAAATACCAACGACACGTAGTGTT